GGAGAGAGAGGAGTCCCGTTCTTCAGCCCGACATCCCAGCGCCTGCTCCGGCTCCGCAGGCGATGGGAAGGGCAGCCGGGCATGAGCAGCCCATGCTCATCAGCCAGAACTGTTGCTTGCTGGAACGGCGGCAAAATTCCTGCCTTTCCACGCAGTCCTCCAGCATTGCCATGGGCGCGACTGCTGAGCGTGTCCATCACCGGGAGCTGCAGAACACCTGGCTGGCCCGGGGTGCGCACTGAAAAGGGATTATTCCTCTGCTTACAGTGACCACCTCCACTTCACTTTGTGCAGTAGCTCAGGGGGTGGGAAAGCTCCTTGTTTTGCAAGGAATATTACAAAATAAAAGTTGTTACTTGTAGAAGAGAAACATTCCTGAGCACCTTAGGTAATCGGTGACTGTGCTGGAGAAGCACAAAGCAGCCACCCATATTTCTTCAAGAAAGCTTCACTTTGATTTGAATTTGGACAACTGAGCAGTAGAAATCAATGGGACAGTCTGACCAGGAACAGAGAGTACATTGCTGAGAAAGCAGCAGGAAAACTGTGTCTGTGGCTCAGACAGAGGCCAGAAAGATTCAGACAAGAACCTGTGCAAGAATTTTAGCATGTCAGATTTTTCCTTTTACTGCTTACTTACACATCTAGGGAAAAAGTAAAGAGGCTTGTTCACTGTTTACCATTTGGAGGTGTTTAATACTATATGGCACACCTCTTTAATACTGTTTTTCAGATTCTCATTAGTATAGTTGATATGATTTTCATCTTTGCCTTTTAGTTAGTTTATTTTGTGTATTTTGGGCTTGATCCAGAAAAGCACATCATCTCCGACAAAGTATGTAAGGGCCAAAGCCTTTACTAAAACTGTGAAAGCTGACTGTTCAAAAAGCTTTCTAAGGAGGAATTGGGTTTCTTTAGTCCATAATTGTAAACCTACTGTCAGAGGTACCCAAATTCTGCAGGTGCCACACCTCTTTTTCTTAAAATTTCCAAGACAAGTCTTGCTCTGAGATGCACCATAAATTGAAGCATTTTTGCCTTGATCAGGCTTAGCAGCTTGGCTTCACTTTTAGTTGAACTTTATTTTGGCTTAGACATCCAGACTAGCCTGAGATCCAGGAACTAAATTTGCTTTCCCTCTTCTTACCATTGGATCAATCCAACAGAGATTCTCAGGGTATGGGCAACAGAACAGGTCCGCATTAGGTGCAGTACTGAAGCACAGAGGGATGTACTCTAGACCAGGCAGAAGCCAAAAGTTTCCTACAGGCAGTATGTGGGCTCTGCCCATGGAGCGCTTTAACCAGAAATGGAAATAGCAGCTTCCCCAGTATCCTCTGCTGCATCTCAAAATACAAGAGTGACTTCAGTTAAAAGAGCTGTTTGGTGCTTTCAGGACAATAATTCCAGGAAGAGAGGAGAGCCTTTCAGTAGTACTGAGTAGCGTGACTTAATATCATAAAGATACAATTTTGAGTTGTGTTCCTGCCTTCAGCTTTAGCTTGGTGGGCAGCTGCTGTCAGATTCCCATAAGATTGATACCACTTTTGGACCCCAAACCCAGGTACTATCCTCTGCCTGCTTCTTTCCAGCTGCTGATTGTACCATCAGCTGACCTTCCAAAACACTGTAATTGCCCTGATCTTACTCTGCATCTCAATGTTTTTTTTGTTTTCTGAGGGGTGATGTTTTCACTGCAGATACCACCATGTTCATTACACAAATTTTACTGCACCCTGGTCATTCTCCTGGGATTTTGCAATTGAATTAAATGAAACAAGGCCCTAGGGGGAAAAAACAAGTTTTAATTAAGGTAGAATGTTAAGTGGAAATGGATGTTGTTCATTGGGAAAGAGCTCTTTAAAGTATTTGAGGATACTGCATCTTTATTACTCAGAGATGAATGATAATTAAGCAGATCATCCATGTAAACAGCAAGATATTAAAAAGCAAAGCCAAAGAATGAAACACTCCCAACAACACCTGTCCCTGTTTTAATCCTAGCAGAAGGGATGTACTCAGCCTCTCTTTTCATGTTCTATCCCAGAACAAGTGGAAGAGTGAATGTCCCACACAGTCAAGACCTTTACAGTTTAATTTGCAGAAAGCCATAATCATTAGAGTCACCCTGGGAGCCTGCTATTAGCTAAGGGTGGTCAAAATAATGATGTATATCTGGATTCCTTTTGAATCCCTTTTTTTGCTTTTTCTCTCATTCTTTTTGCTGTTAAAAATACAGCAGTTGTAATCTCAGATGTCTCTTCACTGTGTGCCACTGCAATGTAGACATGCTGGTCACCTGTGGCTTCAGAGAGGTTGATTCATCAACTGGGAAGCAGCTGAATTCCCATCACACGCCAGCATTTCTTTGGCTAAAACCCCTGGTGCTGGAATTGGCCACCGAGCCACCTCTGTGCTCTTTGAGGTTTCCTACACGAGGAAATCCTTTGGGGCTGGTTAAGCAGGCTTTCCCACCGCGCTCTCCTGGCAAGGCAGCCTGCGGGATTGCCGGAGCTATATTTGGCCCTTTGTCTTTTTAACCCCTGGAAAAAGCCAAAGGTGTGTGCTCAGTGTCATTAAATCAAATAGAGGCAGGGAACGTGTGATGTGTTTGTTTTCCTTGCTTTCTGGATTTTCTCCAACTGCAAACAAGCAACAGAGAAGCTCATAGTAAAGCCATGTGCAGAAGGCTTGAAGTGTAGTGGCTGTATTTAAGCTATGTGTGAAGGAAATTATGCTCCATGGGTGTGCTATTTTTAACTTTTTTACAGTTCTCCACCTCTGTTGCACTTCTTAACACAGTTTCCCCTCACCCCAACATTTCTATCTGGATTTTATATATTTTATAAACTCAGCAATAGCAGTGAGTCATTATTTAAATGATCCCCATATAAATCCTTAGTCCTTTTATCTTATCCTTTCTATCCTTGTGTATTCAGAAAGGCCCCTCTCTGGTATTGTTATTTTTCACATTCTAGAGACATGCTGTGACAACATCCACGTGTTATCTGACAGTGGGTGATAGGAAAAAAAAAAGTCAAAGAAAAAAACACAGCCCTTCTATTCTACTCTCTCCAGCTTAGATGGATCCAACATCACATGGAGAGGATCCAGAATGAGTCAGGGAGCAGTGCTGTGGTCCAAAATTCCAGTTTGCATTACAGCTGGGAGGTAGCATTTAGCATCATGTGGATTTATTTTCTTTTAACGGGAACTGCAAAATAATTTATGGAAGTCACATAACCTAATGGGCAGAACAGATAACAGTAAGCCAAGAAGAACCTGGATTCCCATCTGGGTTAAATCATTGACTCAATTTGACTATCAGTGTGATGGGTGTGGTATTTAAGCCTAAGACATTATACTGGCCTTAACTAAGTCATTGCACTTCTCCACAACATAACTGGAAAATATGATTAATGTTCAGAGCTCTGCTGGTATCTGACAGTTTACCTAACAACTTCCCTGATCAGACTTAGCACAGGACATTAGAGGTATTTATTTTCAACCTTAATTTGCGGGACAAATCCTAAAGGTTTCAGGATATATATGGCTAAAGACAAATTCATGCTTTAGAGCTTACATGGAGACCTGTAACTCGTGAGGACTTTCTGCACTGCATGAATTTCACACTGTATGTATTACTCAGCTTTCAGTAACATGTATCCTTTTTGTACATCTTTGCATATTTTTCTTCCTGGGCTTTTATAAACAGAAAGACGAGTCGTGTGAGCTTTTTCTTATAATGTGGTCAGTTTAAAAGCAAAATAAATAACCATAATTAAACTGTTTCCAATTTAGTTGGTCAGTGATTCAGGAGACTTGCAGGAATCAGATGTCACGCAGCAGAAGAGAGGCTAAAAGCTCTGTAACATCTGAACATACTCCAAAGATGTGCCAGGTTGTTGTTGTTGTTCTCTTATTTTTTCTTTCTCCAAAAAGAAGTTGTTACCCATTCTCCTGGAACATCCTTTTCTAAAATTCCTGAAGACACTACAGCTATGAGTCTGATCTCATCTTGTGTCAACATAACTCAGGACTGAATGCACTGGGAACAGAAAGCCTAGGATTAACTAAAATTATACAAAACTAAGGCTGTCATGAAACGAAAGACTTGCGCCTGTTCTCAGTCCATCTGTACTTAGTGACTTCAAGGGACTTAAGCACATGTTTAAAGATAGACTGCTGTGTAAAATGCTCTCTTGAAAGAGTTACTTTCCTGAAGTCTAAATCTAGAGTGAGATCAAGCCTTTTAAAAGTTGAGTGCAGTCCTGAGGGCTGATGTTGCCAAATATTTTAGTTTAATCTTGGCTAGAATTTTAAGATTTTGAACAGCTAGATCTAATGGTATTTGCCTACCTAGCTTGTTATATTCTCCTGGAATTTATCAATGACACACTCCATATAATTGTGGTTACTTTTTGCCCGTCTAAAATCCATTTTTGGTTTTGCAAGAGAGAGACTGTAAAGAAGGAGTATGTAAAAAATTCTTTCCTAACCAAAAGCAAAAAGTTGATTTTTTTTGTTTTTCCCTTGCACAATGAAAAAGTAAAACAATGTCTGTTGCTCTCATGCTTAATGTCAAAATCTCTGCTAAAAAATAGCAAGAAGAAATATGATGAACTTTTCATATGGAACTTATTCCCTGCAATTTTATAATGCACATATATGAGGTTTTATGAAGGCTTTTACTAAAAGGTTTTAAAACAGTGTAATAAAGGAAAAGTGCTCATAATATCCTCTGGTATCTAAAGATCTCCACTTTGAGAGAGAGAAATAAAATAAAGGGCAATGATAAGTAATGGTAGATTTGCAAATGCATTTCCTTTTCTCCAAGATTTACAGTAAGAACCAGCCCTGACTGTAAAGTTCTCTGCACTGTCGTAATCTGTAGCTTTGCAGGATATAACATTCCTATATCCATTCTCTGACTTCTGAAAGAAATGTTTCACCCGCATATAAATTAATAATCCTTTACTTAATTTTATGTCTTACTTCTTTTTTTAAGTAGGTGCTTGAAAACCTTTATTGAGGACATAAATCTCCAAAGCTGCTACTATACTATGCCCTACTAACAGAGTGATCTTGTGTTGCATCTCTGGAGAACCATTGTTGTTTAATAGAAATCAGAGGTGACACAGGAACAAATTTATCACTTATGTTTATATAATCATTAGTTACAAACAGTGGACCTGTTCTCATTGAGAGAAATTTTTATTAATTTATTAGCTATATTTCAGTG